GTCCCTGTCTGTGTGTGTGTGTGTGTGTGTGTGTGTGTGTGTGTGTGTGTGTGGTGGGGTGTAGGGCCAGGACACCGGGCTTCCAGAGTTTCTATGTGTAATACAGGCAACTCACTTTCCAGACCTTAGATTTGCTCTTCAGCCTGGAAACTTGGAAACCCAGAGGTTTTCGTAGCGGGTCCATCACGGAGGCTCCATCTGTTGGCTCAGTCTCCCACCCCTTTCAACCTTCCCACAAGACAACACTCATAGTCCCTGCCTTCTAATCAGGCCATCTCTCTGGAAACCAGCTCCCATTGGGCCCAGCTAGAGTTATTTAAGTAGAACAAAAGGCAGTCCCATTTCCCAGGAGGCCTTAGGGAAGGTAGGATCTCTCCTTCAGAAAGCAAAGGCCAAGCTTACATTCCTGACGTAATACCATTGTTCATTCTATCTATCTATTTATCTACCTACCTATCTATCTATCTACATATATATGTATATATGATTATAAGGTTCATATATATGTGAAGATAAAAATATATATTTATAAGAATAATAGTTATAATACTATCAGTCTCAACAGAAAAAAAAATCTTTAAATTTTGGAATCTTGTTAAATTCACAGTGGTGGATGAAAGTATTCCAAAAGTTTAAATTAACACAAGGTATTAAATTTTATCACTGGCAAGGATTTTCATTTTCCTGGAAATAATGGGCCCATCTCATTCGTTTCGGAAAAGAAATGTCCACCTATATCACTCAGATCCAGTAGCCATAGTTCACGACTCACTTGGCAAATGTGATGTCGCTAAAACACTTTTGAGGGGATCACATGATGCCCTGAGCTCAAGTCTCAGCTCTAGAAGAGTTGTTTACACTGCAAAGCCTCAATGACAAGCATTTCCTCCTGACAGACAACCTCCACCCTTTGCCGTGAGGTAGGACTGATGGTTCCTGCACACTTCTCATCTGTTCGGCTAGTTTTTGTCAGCGTGACAAAATCTGGGAAGAGAGATCCCAGTGAGGAATTAACTAGCTGAGGTTGGCTTTTGGGTATGTATGTCTGTAGAGGACTGTCTTGATCGTGTTAATGGGGTTGGCCGGAAAGACTGGCCCATTGGAATGAGCACAGTTCTCTGGGTTTGGGTCCTGACCTCTATAAGCATAAAGAAGTAACGAGCGAGTGTAAGGAAGCACTCCTGACTTCATCCTCTCTCTGCTTCCAGACTGCTGAGGCAGGATGACCGGCTGACCTCCCGCTTCTCCTGCTCTGACACATTTTGTCCTTCCAGGATGCTAAGTCAACGTAAAGTTGGTTTCCTTGTCTTAGCTATGTTTCTATTGCCACGATAACACCATGACCCGACAACTTGTAAAATAGAGCATTTAATTGGGAACCTACAGTTCCATAGGGTTAGAGTCCATGGTAGCAGGCAGGCAGGCAGGCAGGCAGGCAGGCAGCAGGCAGGCAGGCAGGCAGGCAGCAGGCAGGCAGGCAGGCAGGCAGCAGGCAGGCAGGCAGGCAGGCAGGCAGCAGGCAGGCAGGCAGGCAGGCAGCAGGCAGGCAGGCAGTTAGGCAGGCAGCAGGCAGGCAGGCAGGCAGGCAGCAGGCAGGCAAGCAGGCAGCAGGCAGGCAGGCAGGCAGGCAGCATGGCACTGGAGCAGTAGCTAAGAGCTGACATCTGATCCACAAGTACACAGAGAGAGATAATGAAGGATGGTGTGGGCTTTGAAACCCAAAAGTCTACCCTCAGTGACACACCTCTTCCAACAAAGCCACACCTCCTAATCCTTCCTAAATATTTCTACCCACTGGAGACCAATGATTCAAAATCTTGAGGGGGATATTCTCATCCAAACCAACAACACTCTTCTAATTTGTTGAGTTATTTATTCACTTTTTTTTTGGTACAAATCACTTATTTACCATATACTGCTGAGGGTTCAATAGCCTTAATTTTATAAAAACACAGTTCAAGGTACAAGATATAAATCAAGGAAAGGACTGACCATCTAAGTAGAAGATAAAATGTCTACACAAAAGAGAGACTGGACAGCTTGGGTCAGGCTCTTAACTGGAGATGTGCTCTGAGTAAATTTCTTGACAGTACCCTAAGAGCCACAGGTTTCCCCAGCACATAGCAAAACATGCTTAGCATGTTCAAGGGGCTGTCAAGGCTGGGTTCTCTTAATGTGTTCTGCATAAGGAGCAAGATGGTCCTGGCAGCAGACAGGTCAGACCACTAGTTTGTTGATGACCAGGTAGATGTTGGAGTAGTTGCAGGCATAATGAACTTCACTGTGGATGTATGGGGAGGGGAGTCATGAGGTGAGGGTAGCTATTGGGGAACTCCAGAGATCTTCAACCACTGTATGAGGTTCATTGATCTTCACCCACTGTATGAGGTTCATTGATCTTCATTCACTGTATCAGCTTCATGGATCTTCATACATTGCATCTGCCTCATGAATGGTCGCTATTCATTTGAAAAGATTGTCTGAATGGCTCCTGCTGTAGCCTGTTATCCACAGGAAATGGGAAGTGCCCCAACTGGACTGGACTCCTTTGCAGATGTGGGCAGCAGGTGGGTCACCTTTTTGGAGTCCATTCTGCTGGTGCTAGCAAGAGGCAGTAAGTTCCTTTTTATTAGGGTGTCTTTTTTTTTTTTTTTGTCATAGCAAAAGAAATGGTGCTAAAATGCCACAGACTAAAGGACATATCACTCCTCCTAGAGGACAGTCTCTTTCCTTCGAGAATATGATGTGTAGTGAAAACTCTCTTCTGCTCTGGTTTTTAGAGGATCGGTTAGCTAAACTATGGAAATGTTAACCCACACCAGGACAGTATGGAAATACAACTGCAGCAGGAACTGCAAGGCTGAGTGGACCGTGTTGCTGAGCCATCTTGTACCCAACAGTGTCAGAGGCTGTTCTTGAGAACATGCTGACTCCAGTCAAACATGAGCTCAGGTCTCACTAGGGTCTTTGATGAGACAGTGCCTGCTTCTTGGTTCAGGCAGGCTCACCTCAAAGAATTAAGGCCCCAGACCCTCAACAGCCACCCATGTCGTTGCTCTGGGCCAGTGGATCCCATGTCCCTTGCTTTTTTTTGCATTGCAAAGAATGACAAGCAAGAAGAATAGAAGAAAAGCTAGCAAATCCTTATCGAGGTGGAGAAATCAGTAAACTCACAAGGGATCTGCCAATCTGGCCTTGGCTGGACCCCCTTTTCTACCCAGAAATTAAGCCTGGGGGGAGCTGGGTAGGAGATAGATCAAGGCTCAGAAAAAACTTGAAAATAGGAGGTCAGATGAGGACTGAGGACGACTTACCAGAAGTTCCAAGGATGGGGGGTGGGGGGACACACGGATGGACTGAGATGGGAGTGTCAAAATGAGGGAGGGATTGAAGAGTCAGGAAGTCAGGTGGGCAAGGGTTGGGCAGCCATTATCAGAACAAAAGCCAGCCAGCCAGTCTGTCAGTCAGTCATAATCTTAATAAATTGGGCCTTCTACAATTCACAGCTTCTGAGTTAAATGTACAGAAAATGGACTTTTTAATCACATAGAAGCTGTGTCCTCAGAGCACGGTCCAGTACTCATGGGCCGGAGGATAGTTTCTGAGCTAATTTCACAGGTATGGGGGGAGTCTACTCCCCATTCATGTTGTGTCCATGGGAAGGCTTCCTGTCTGCAGATGACTCCTTCTGAGATGAGTTCACTGAGAAACCACCCTTGACAGTTTGTAAAGGTTTTTCTCCAGAAATTTCTTATCTAGCTCTCTCTCTCTCTCTCTCTCTCTCTCTCTCTCTCTCTCTCTCTCTTCTCTCTCTCTCTCTCTCTCTCTCTCTCTCTCTCTCTCTGTGAGAAAGAGAGACAGACAGACAGACAGACACAGAGAAGGAGAGAGATGGAGGCAGAGACAGACAGACAGACAGACAGACAGACAGACATTCTCTGTGTAGACCTAACTGTCCTGGATCTTGCTCTGTAGTCTGGCTTTCCTCTGGCTCCCTATGCTGGGATTAAAGTGAGCCACCAAGCTCAGCTAGCCAGGCTTGCTTCTTAAGCAGGCTTTAATAAGACCCAGTAAAATCCCCATTAGGGCCATTAAGAAACTATGGATGGGGCTGGAGAGATGGCACAGCAGTTAAGAGCTGGTACCACCTTTGCAGAGGACCTGAGTTCAGTTCCTAGCACCCACACTGGGTAACTCACAACTCCCTCTTAAGTCCAGTTGGAAGGGATCCCACACTTTCTCTGACTCTGTGGGCCCTATATTCAAGGACACATACCCACATACAGAAGCAAACACAATTAAAAATAATAAAAGTAAATTTAAAAAAAACTCTATGGAGAGAGGAAGGTATGGATGGTACCTAGCACTTTCTTTGCCCTGCATTCCTGAGGCTGAGACAGGAGAATTGCCTCACGCTGGAGGCTAACCTGTGCTTACCAGTGAATTTCAGGCAAGCCTTGGCTGCACTTAAGTATGGTCTTAAACAAACAAACAAACAAAAAAACCAGAATAAAAACAAATAACTATGTAAGGAAGAATAAAGATTTGTCCTATACCAAAGCTCAAGCTATCTGACCTTTTCCCAAGTCAAAAAAAAATATTTTTTAAAGAATGCTTATTGATCTATTTACATGTTTTATTATCATTGATATTGTTGCGTTTTTCCAAGTTTTGGATTTTCTTTGCCTTCCCGGAGGTGTTTTCTGGCGCGGTGTGCCTGGGTTGGTGCATCTGTACAATTTCGTGGAGGCCAATGGGGACCCGGAGGCCTGGGATGGTGGGTGCGCGGTGCCTCCTCCTGGCTTCCTGCAACGTGGACGCGCGCGCGCGTGCACAGCGGTGGCGGCGGCGACGCGCAGGACCGGGCCCACAAACCGGGGCTGCGGTGGGCGGCGGTCTTGCACCCCGCAGGTCGCACGCACCCGGCTTCCTCCTTCCGGCGTGGCTGCATCCCTGCACCCTGCAGGCGGGCGGGTAGCGGCGCGGAGGTCTGGGCGGGGCCGGCCTCCCTGGCTCCGGGGACGCCCACAGGCCCCGTGAGGCCGGAGAAGAGCTCCGGCGGCGGAGAGGATCCCGAGCGCCCGTGCACCAAGGGTGAGCTGGGAACCCAGGGGTGGAGGGTCTCAATGAGGTGCTGTCCCCCGCCCCCATGCCGGTGGACAGAAGGATGGTGGAGTCTGTTTTCCTCGGCTAGCTACCTCGGTAAGTGCTGGGGCGACTTAAAGACATCGCTGGATGGAGAGATTCCTGGGAAGAGCCTTCATCACTTAATTATGCAACGAAGCAGCGTCCTTGTGCCCGATGCTTTGATGAATGGAATCGGTGATACTTGAACCATCCATCATCTACCTTTGCTATCCTGGGCTGGAGACTTGCGTTTGTAAATGGGGGCTGGGGTGGAAAGAGGAGAACGTTTTCCCACTTGGGTCCCGGGAGCATTCGGGGAAGGAAGACTGGAGGGAGGAACCTGTGCAGCCTTTCCGAGGGAGCGCATGGTTGAGCATGGCTCCTGGGGCTCTAGGGGAAGGAGCTCTGCCTGCAGGTCCTGCACACTGGCCCTAGACCTTCTCCACCAAGAGGTCTGTCAGAAGTTGGAGGTCTAGGCATCGATTACTGCACTTTCTGGCTGGAAAGATGAAACAGGTTTTCCAAAGGCTGGTGCTTTTTCGCTCTCCAAGTCCATTCAAGACAGGAAAGGGCAGGGCAGTGAATACAAAGCAGTTCAGCCAGGTTCTGGTTAGCCACAAGGAGTTGGGATATTGCATTGATCTGTTGGAACTGTCAGAGTAGGGAATATCTTGAGACCTTCTTAAAATGAGACAGCTCAACTTCGTTCCGGCCTGCTGCTCACCAGCCACGACTTCATCTTTTTTAAGTGACTGGGTTAAAAAGAAAAGACACAAAGAAAGAAATGGCTTTCTACCTTCCGAGGTCCCCAGGATAGTTAGGACATAGTTTATCTTGAAGCAGAGTTGAAATTTCAAGACGAAAAGAAAAATTATGAATGTTTGCTCTTGACCCTGAAGAATAGAAGAAATTCCCGAGAAAGCCTTATCTTCCCGGAAAGGAAAATAGGGTTCTGTTTGGTTTTTGTTTTTGCAAAGTTGAACAAAGAGCATCAGAAAACACTTAGAAATAATCTGTGCCACTTGCAGTAATATTTGGGTCATTTCTGAAGCTCGAGGAGATTATAGAGTGAAGAATTAGGAGAGAGCCAGGAATGCAGTGGGGAGGAGGACTGTGTAAGACCCTAAACGTGAGACCTTCTGAACTAGTCTGTTTTCTCTTCACACAGTCTAGAACTGTTTAAGCTATGTGAGGTGAAATTACCTTTAATTTTAATACTGAGGTGTTTTTTTTTTTAGATTGAAGTCTATTGTTTGTTTATTCTGCCAACGATCCTATTAAATCTGTGGTTTCTCTAATCCTATGAGGTTGATGTTTATCCCATTATCATTTATTTGTCAAATGACTTTTGTCTAGAATCTACCGTATGCTAAGTAAAGCTTGACAGAGCTCAGAGTGTGTCTGTCATTGGAATAGCTCATGGTGCCGTATAAAACTTATTTACCCAACATCTAGCAAATAAGACAATGGGATTGGATTATTCTTGGTACAAATATTTCATTAATAATTTTACTTTTCATACTAAATCACAGAGAGTACTCTTAAGTAGCTGGCACTTATGGCACATTTGAAATAGACTCTTGCTTGTGAAGAAATACAGATGCAACCTGCTTTCTGTGAGGAACTTGTTCTAGAAATATATACATGAATATTCCAAGTGACTGTTTCCCAGTAGAAACTAAGTCATATTAAGAAAATTGACCTAACTTTGAGTGGTGGTTTTGTTACTTGGTTTTGGTCTTTTGTTTTCGAGATAGGGTTTATGTAGCCTGTTCTGGCTTCAAGCTGTGCAGCTAAGGATGGTCTTGAATTCTCACTGTTATTTCAAATCATCCTACACAGTGACAGAGGAACCATAAACCACAAGAGGAACAAGGACAGCATGGGAATGTGACGCCTTCAAACACAGGCCGCAGATGGTCCGTGATGGAAAATGTGAACCCGTCAGGTATTTAAGATCATGGCTACTCAATATCCGTAGTGCCTTCTTTCTGTCCTGTATAGACATCTCAGGGAACTTAAGCACCTGGTGATGAATATGTACATGCACACTTAGGAATGGTTCCTTAAATAGAATAGGGGCATGCATTGCAGCTAGCACTGGGTTAATACCTGATGTACTGTCTGTCAGTGTTCTCTGTTACTCAAAGCTTCTGCCTCAGCCACTCTTGTATCTCTCACTGGACAGAGTTAGGATCTTTTCATCTGCTAACCAAGGAAAACCTTCTGAGGCAGGATTGGAAGAGACCGCAGCAGAGAAGACAAAGGAAAATTCTGAACTGTGAGCACTGAGAATTTAAAAGCTCGATGGTCTGTAATACAACTGTCTATATAGACACATTCATACACTGTTCTGTGCTTTAATAAGTTGTAGTTTGATAAGTTTCTTGCTACATCACACTTCAAAATCTAAAAGTATGGCAGGGCAGATAATATCCCGTTGTACCAGCCTCTGGGTTTGGTTCTCTTCCCAGTGTCCTTCCAGGCCTAGCAGCACCTTGCTATATCCAGATTGTATGAGGTTTCCTTTGTGTCTGGAAGTGTTAAAAAAAAAAAAAAGTTCAATATTGTAACTGTGGAGTCTGAGCTGTGTGTGGTGGAGTAGCATCCTGGCTTCCACAGTGTCCACAGCTGTGTCTTACCAGGGGCATTGACTTCCTTTTGCAATTCTAGAACTTAGACTTCCCATTCAACTCTTCCTCATTTGCTCTATTTCTCCTTTAACCAGTTTTGGTTTTAATCAAAATTAGTTTTCTTATAGCAGAGTATACATTCAAAGATGCAGCTTCAGTCACTTTTTACCACCCAGGTGTTTAGGTCGATTCACTGTAAACACGGAGCTGAAATCTGCATACAGTCTTGGTATGAAAATGTTCAGGGTCATTGTCAGGGCTGGCGGATTGTTCTTTCCCGTGTTTATAATTGGTGCATACTTTCACTCTTATCTATTTTGCACATACTCTGTGCATTAGTGTGTGCACTCGGGAATCTGCCTGTGAATGTGTGTGTGTGTGTCTTTACAAGTATGTGTGTGGCAAAACACAGCATGTGGAGGTCAAAGGACAACTTCTGGGAATCAGTTCTTTCCTTCCACCATAGAGATCCCAAAGATTCAACTCAGGTCTTCAGGCCTGTCCATCACATTTACTCCTAAACCACCTCACTGGTCCAATTTGTGCATTTTTAAAGACTGACATCAAAGAATTGAGAGTCACACCAACACTAAAGCAGAGAAGCTGCAGTGTATGGCAGGCCAGCCCCTTACTGAGTAAAACGCTGATGGTATGTTCCGGAAGTCCTCAGAGCGCTATCAGCATGTGAAAAGGAGTCGATCAATTGGGGTGATAGAAACATATTCAAGCTTAGAGGGAGATGCTGGTGTTTGGCAAACAATAGTCTGCCGAATAGTAACTTTATGTCTTTTAAACTAGCACTGAAAAACAAAGACAAAACGCTTAGGTCATTCCTCACTTAGTTAACTGAAAAAAAAAATTTTTTCCCGTATCTTTGAGATCATAGGTTCAGACTAGTGAGCCATGGTAGAAAACAACAAAACAGAAATCTCATCTCAGCTGGAGAGATGAATGGTCATCTGCCACCCTACAGAACCGGGGAGTCTGGGATCTGGCCTGTGCTCTGTTATCAGGGCTGCCTGAACTGGTCCTCAGTAAGAATGGCCATGCCTTGCTAGTCTCATGGATTACTTGCTCCCTGCGTACACCTGTCTGTCTCTTTGCCCCACCCTTGAATGGTGTAGCCAGCAGCTCTGCATATTTGCTCTAAAGTACTTAGCTTCTCCCAGTTCCCTGGGTGTGGCCCAGAGATGGTGTCCCAGGCAAGTGGGCATGCCCAGCGTTAAGAGTGGTGGCAGGCAGGTTCTCCACTAAATCCACCTCGCTGAAATGTCGGCTACCTTTTAACTAACACCGTTCTTTCCCCGAGGCCCTAGCCTTCCCGCCCTTCCTCTTTTTAGTTACTGATCTGCACAGACCTCTCACCTAGTGCATCAGCTTCTCTCTGAGCATTCAGTCCTGGATTGGAGAACATGCGTCACTGTTCTGCAGGGTTCAGAACAGCACTTGGTATATTCCTGAATGAGTGACTGGCTAAAGCCTGTATAAACAGAGTTGACTCGGCTTGTGTGCCACAGGACCTTTTTAAAGAGTCTTTTCTAAACCTTTTCTAATGTGATGGATGGGATCAATCTGGATCATATGGCAGGAGAGGCTTTGTGCTTCAACAGCAGGGGAACATGGACAGCTGAGACAAATGAATCTACGGGCATCCCTTTTTTAAAATGCAGGAGAGAGAAAGGTGTATCCAAAGACAGTACCTGCACTGTGTCTGTCACTGATGATGACATTCTTGTGTGTGCTGCCTCTCTTTTGTTTGAAAGAGAAAAGAGGTGCATGCATCTTGTGGGCTTTGTTGGTTTTTCTCCCCGGCTCTCTTCCTCCGTACAGTCACCAGTTCTGTGTGTGGATTTTCAGAGCCCACCCTCTGGCTTGTTGGCATCTTGACTTGTGTGTTGCTTAATGACCAGAAGGAGGAAGGCTCTGAAGATGGATATGCCAGCTCCCTGGAGCTGGGGCTCTGTGTGCAGGAGCACACTGTGTCCAGAGCCATGTGAGGCACAATCAACTCTGCCACCACCATTAGCTGCAAGTGGCATAGTGGGATTGTATTGACTTCTCGAACAACGGGGAGTTAATTACAGCAAATGCCAGGCCTTTTGAAGGCTATTTATCACCTGGTTACAGGGAAGCACTGGCCTTTAGTGGAACCCTGAAGGAAAGCCGCATGCCAGGTCCTGGTCCCCTTGCAGATGGACACTGTGAGCCTGGACCTTGACAGCTTGGGATGGTGGCAAGCCCCAGGGAGAAGACCTGTATTTAGGGACATGGTTCGGAGAATAGGGCATCCTTAGAGAAGTGAGGCTGTAGGAATTGGGGGTACTTTTTTTGTTTAGAAAATAAGGTACATTGTCATAGGGTTTCTTTCTCTATGGGCAGCAGATCGTAACTCTACAATGTCTACTTACCCATAGATGGGAGAGTTGGAAAGCAACTCTACTCAGGGCAGTGATGGAACATGGTCTTAGATTCTAATTAAATCATTTTTCAGCCATTTATCAAGAACACACTTAATTCAGAGCATCAGTTGGCTGTTGTGGCTCCGGTCCTGAAAATGGGGGAGAGTAGCCATTACTCTGGAATATGCCAAGGATTCGAATTTTAACGAGATCCCTAGGGGATTCACATGGACACTGAAGTTTGAGGGAAGCCTGGTGGGTAGAGGATGGCAAGACCAGCAGTCCCCTGTCTCAGCTGGTCAGGAGAGGCTTGTACAGAGCTTGGAAACCTGCTTTGACATCACCGCTATAGACTTGTCCATACCTGGGGCATTGCTGTTTGTCAAGATCGATGTAACAATTCCAACATAGAGCCAAGAGTGACAGCCGCTGGCCTCAACATGAAGCCAGACTCATTAGTTAGCTGCTGCTGTAATCAGCATGGAAATCACACCATAGCGAGCTAGGCACGCCTTTCTCCAGGACCCATCAAAGCCTTACATACCATATTCTGTGGATCTTTTTACTAGCTCACTCACTGGTGTGGCAGGAGTGGGGCATGCATGCATGTGTGTACAAATATAGTGAGCCCAGAGATGAACTTTGGGTGTTATTCCTTGGTTTTTATTTAATTGATTTAATGTAGCTTATGGGTATGTATACCATAGGTATTCAGTGCCTGAGGCAGCCAGTAGAGGGTATCTGATCACCCTGAAATTTGAGCAGGAAGCAGTTGTAAGCCAATAGGGGTGCATACTGGGAACCAAACTTGGGTTCTCTGCAAGTGCAGCAGCTGCTAAGCCATCTTTCCAGCCCCTACCTTGTTTTGCTTTTACTCTTGCTTTTGTTTGAGACTGGATCTTTCATTGACCTGGAGCCCACTGACAGGTTAGGATGACTAGCTGGTATGCTCAGGGACCTTGCTGTCCCTGTCTCCCCAGCACTGGGATTGCAAGCCTGCGTCTTCATGCTCAGCCCTTCTGTGTGGGTTCTGGAGATCAGACTCTGGTCCCCATGCAACAAGCACTCGGCTGCCTGAGCTTCTCCCCAGCACCTCACTCTGGTTTTTAGAGATAGCGGTATAGAGCAAGCACTTGGTCAGGTTTATACTGACTAGAATGCCCCCTCCTCTGCAAACGGAAATGGACCATCGTCAAATTAACATTTCCTCTGTATATCTTTGAGCTTTAAAACAAAATTTAAGATCAGACCAACCCACTCCACCAACCCCCTTTTCCATATGTCTCTTGTCCATGTCAGGAAAAAATGGGATCCCGTAGCAACCATTATGGCTGGTGTTTGCTGAGTCGAATTTACTCTGCCTCAGCTGGGTCTTGAGCCACACGAGCCCTTCTTCTTCTTAAGTAAATCACAAGCGTGTTTCCTGGCATGGAACCTGTCCTTTTCCCTCCTCTGGCAAGGGCCCTCTGCCCAGCTCATACCCTCCTGCAGTTTCTTACAGTACCACCTCTTTCAAGTATCATCAGGTACCATCTTTCCACTTCCTGTGTGTGTGTTAGACTTGAGATTCTATAAGGACACAAGAGACTGTCGTATCTCTAACCCCATTTTATCAGATGAAAGAACATATGCTTTCATGGTGAATTGGAGAATGATCTCTTTTTTAATTACTTTGTCCATTAAACTTGCATACACAAACATATGTCCATGGCAAAAAGATAAAGTAAAACACAGCTGTCACTTCAAAGGAAATAAGATATAGTTGTTCTGGGGATCGGGAGATGGCTTAGCAGTTAAGAGCACTGGCTGCAGCCGGGCATGGTGGCGCACGCCTTTAATCCCAGCACTTGGGAGGCAGGGGCAGGCGGATTTCTGAGTTCGAGGCCAGCCTGGTCTACAGAGTGAGTTCCAGGACA